ACAAGGAAATAGAAGGGAAAGATTTAGGACAGTAGGGACAGTAGGAAGGAAGATGATTCTCTATTTACAAGAAGGAAGGAAAAACTTAGCGATATAGAGCTTACACGAATTTCTTTGATAAAACAAACAACATGTGCGATGACTTAATTTCTTTAAAACCCTTTCAGACCTATAAATGCATATATGCATTTAATAAAAGTTGCCAAGCGTGCATATACGTGTTTGTCAGTATAAATGAAAATAAGTGAATGTTGTTTCGCGTATTGATTATTAAAATCCTACTAAACACTTTAGCAGCAAATACTATTTAGCACTCAAAAAGATACGAAGCGTAAGAAGAAGACATTTGCATAATCACGAGTTACAAATTTCTCATCATTTACATCTACGATTACGAGAGAAATATCTTTAGGGTATTACAATCGGTAATTAAAATAAAAAAATAAAAGAAAAGAAAGCTGGATGAGAATTGGGCACCAATCGGTAATTGGAAGTTCCATTTGTCCAAATATATCTTTATATGTATAAAAATTCAGTGACACATTGTTTGTTTTCAATAAACTTCGAAACTACTGAACCGATCTTAATGAAATTATTTTTATTTTGTGTGATTTTTTTTAACTTAAGATATACGATAGTTTTTATCGCGATTATTTTTTATTTTTTATTACAAATTTAAGGATTTATTATTTACAGTTTATCTAGGTCTTTAGGTAGTGTAAGTTTACAATAGATGGAGCTGTATTATAATTCATTTTTTTCGATATATTCACCTCAGACGTTTTTTTCAGATTTACATACGACATAACCTAACTTTTTGTATTTTTGCCTGTATTATTATTATATGTATTACATTGTAATTTTGGTATTATTTCGTGTGTTGTAATAAATTACTAAATAGTTTAGAATTATATTATAACAAAGCCTCATCAAAGCGTGACCAGAGCATCCTAGTAAGTTATTAATCAACTTATCAATACAATTTTCCTGACAATAATTTCGTTTTATTCAATAAAAAAATTGATAGTTGTATATTTTAGTTTCAGTTTTAATAGAATTTGTTTGGATTACAAATATACTATGGATTATTTTTTGAAAGCTAATAAAGTTGTTAACTTTTGTTAGATGAAACATCCAGCATGGTCCCTAGTTTTGTTTCGTATTTGTCGAAGGTCATTGTCAAGTGGTCTAAACGAGAAGATCGCCCGAAGGATTCTACGTAATTACGTGCGGTTGTGGTCTGTCAAGGTTGAGTATCACTGAAGGTCTACTGCAGCCATGGAGATGAAAAGGGAGCGAACCGCGCGAACGAGTCTGCCCGGTCTCTATTCCCCGTCTTTCACGGTGCAGTCCTCTTCCCCCATAAGAGGATTTTTTTTTTTACTTTCGCTGTTTCTTTATATTAACTACGAATTGGAATTCTTCGGGAACGATATTAATTTCGGAAAACAAATTTTTCGTCGTTTATTCAACGATTCGTTAACGAAACTGAACAAATCATTTCGTAATTTGTTGCTTAACAGTTTTTTTAACTAAACTTGCGAAAGTATTTTTTAGGGTTTTTTATTATTCGTATTGCAAGAAAATACTTTATTAATATGATTTTTGAACAAATGTTGAATATATTGATTATCATTAGTATTTTGAATTTTATATCATTTTTAGTTTGGTTTTTATGAGCTTTTTTACCCGAATCTTTGTAAATTTGTCAAGTTATATGTATTGGAATTCTTAAAAAACGATATTAATTTGCAAAACAAATTTTTCGTCGTTTATTCAACGATTCGTTAACGAAACTGAACAAATCATCTCGTAATTTGTTGCTTAACATTTTTTTTAACTAAACTTGTAAAAAGTTTTATTTAAGGCTTCTTACTATTCTTTATTAGTATGATTTTTATATAAATATTAAATATATTGATTAACATTATAGTATTTTGAATTTTGTAAATGTCATTTTCAGTTTGGTTTTTACGAGCTTCTTTCCTGAATCTTTGCAAATTCGCCGAGTTATATGTATTTTTCATTACGATTACGAATGTAAAATTCTTTCGATACGTGGAAAATCGATAAACGTCGTCGTAATTATCCTTTCACGCTCGATCAGTAGTTATTATCGGGTGTGATCGACGATTAAACGTACTGCTTACTAAGTAAGCATCTAATGAAAGTTAACGATCGAATTAACGTCAGGATTGTTGTCTTTAAAATGGCAATTTTTTTGCTCGGTCTAACGAAAGATTCTTAACTAATTAAGCTAAATCTTTTTTTCATATACTTCATCATACGTTTAAGTAGAAGTAAAGTTCATAAATAGATCTCGTAAAAAATAACAAAAGGACACGAAGAAACAGATTTGCAGTTGGAAGACACAAATGCCGTGTTATCGGGGAAAAAAAAGCTGTCGTCGACGTTTGGACGAACGAAACATAAAAATACGTATCAAATTGTCAAGGAAAAAACGAACGTTGACAAAAATATTTTGTCTTTATTCGTATTGCTATTAATAATCGCGTAGCAACTCGTTGTTGGTTGCTATGTTAACTCTTCAGGACACAGTTTGACATTTTTAGTCCCACCTCGAAATATTGCAATAACTGCATGCTTATAAGTTTATATTTCGTCATATTTACGTAAAACAATTGATAATAATATTTTTAACAAATGTTACAAATGTAATTAAATTGGTACTCTTTCTTTATATTGTTACATTATGTAATACCTCTATTAATAAAAATATATTAATTTTATTCCATTTAAAACGTAATAAAATTTCTATGTAATATAGGGCTATTTTATTATCTGAAATTCTGTACCGCAAAGAGTTAAAACGGTTTCAAACTGCATTTATACTTGTCTTTTTTATGTAATTAGATATACAACCACGTTGTGGAAAAGAAAGAAAACGTTTCTTTTTTTAGAAACTATTTTCATGATATCATAATGATCGTTCATAACGATTCCAATTCTTACCTATTCGAAAAATCGATTATCACCGGTTAATCGCGAGAATGCACGCGACCTTTCATACTTTAACCTTGCCTGACTAAACAATCTTTCTTTTACGACAATAACGACAATAGGTACAATCACAAAAAAAAAAGAAAAAAATTGCAAAGGGAAGGCTAATTTGTTTTTTCTTACAAAAAAAAAACACACAAATACACATACACAGAGAGACAAAGAGACGTCTCTTTTACGTCGAACGGAGGGTCTCTGTAGGGAGTGTTATTAACGGCAATCGATTTATAATTTGAATTCGGTGTTTCGCCCACGTTCATGTACCAAACACAAGTCTCCTATGAGATGAAAAGAGGGGAACTGGCGTCGAGGCAGAACTTACACATACACACTGTTATGAATCACGAACGAACCCTGACACGCGTAGAAGAATAAAATAAGAGAGAAAGAGAAAAAGAGAGTTAGAGAGAGGGGGAGGATTCATAGGGTTATCGGTCGAATCTTGAAAACCTTCAGAAAGTATCAGCTTGCTGATGATGTGTCGTTTATAAAACGTAAAAAGTTTTCGTCGATTTAAATATCGATTTTTAACGTTTTGAGCAAAGAAACGTCGAGTTATTTTGCGTAACGGAAATATAAACGTGCAAGCAAACGAGATGAACAAAGCCCCCAAAGTTCTTCGAAAACGAGAAAAAGCAAAAGAAAACGCGACAGTGGTTCCTACTTGTTACCACGAAGAAAATTAAAAGGTGGGGGGGGGGATGCAATGGTTTACGGTTACTAGAATTTAACCAAACGATTAACTTTTTGCAGAACAGAATTTCAGATAATAAAATAACCCTATAATGCATAGACATTTTATTGCGTTTTAAATGAAACAAAATTGATATTGTAAATATTACTATCAATTGTTTTACGTAAATAAGAAAAATAATATAAACCTATGTGTATACAGTTTTCGCAATATTTCGAGGTGGGACTAAAAATGTCTCACCATGCATTAAGGTGCATCAAAAAAGGTGGGACACTTTTATTTATCCCGCTGTGTCCCAAAGAGTTAAACATACAAATAAAAGAAATAAAAAAGAAGAAAACGTTAATGGTGTTCTATGACGTATTTGTTGCACGGGGATAAAAAAGAAAAAAGTCGAAAGATCAGGACAATGCAACAACAACAACAACAACAACAAAACGAGAAGAAGAAAAAGAAGGGCGGATAACCCGTTGAGAAATGGAAGATAATTATGTTCGACTACGTAGAAAGATGAGTGCCACGCACGTAGTGTTTCCGCGAAAATGCGAGCAAGCAAGCAAGCGAGAGAGAAAAAGAAAGAGAAAGGTATCAGAAAAGAAGGGAGAGTGCAACAAGGACAAGAATATACACAGTTGGTATAACAGAGACACTTGGTAGCAGAAAACGACCGGCCTATAGATGCCAAGAGACTCGAGAAAGAGAGTCGCTGGCCGATAGAAGACTCCCTACGAGAGAGAGAGAGAGAGAGAAAGATAGATAACTAGTTGAACGAAGAGAAAATGTTACACATATGTTGAAGAAAGAAAGAAAAAGGAAGAATGAGAGAGAGAGAGGGAGAGAGAGAGAAAGATTGGGTGCTGGTTGAGTTGGTGGTGTGGCGGTGGATGCCGGGAGGAGGAGGTGGAGGAGGAGTAAAGGGGGAGTCCGGCCGGGTGTTTCGAAGAGAGGGGAACCCGCTGGGGTTGGCGTCAAGGGAAAGGGGAAGTTGGGGTAGGAGGAGAAAAGGCTGCCGGGCGCCATACTGCCTTGGTTCTTCGGCACTAGTACGCGGCCAGCGCCTCCGTCGATCGTTGCAGCTATAGGTAGACTAGTAGAGACTAGTAGAGTGTTAGAGAGTGGTAGTAGTTGAGTGCTAGAGTGGTCGGTCGTCATAGTAGTAAAGCCAGTATACGAACAGTGTTGGTAGTCGGCAACAGCAGCAGCCTTCGTCCCCGCTGCTGCCGTCGTCGTTGTCGTCGTTCGCGTTCATCGACATCGTCGACGTCGTCGTCGTCGTCGTCGTCGT